TAGCTGTGACTTACCTCTGCCAACAACCTCCTCACAGAGCAGCTGTTCCCCTGACTGCTACACCCCTTCCACAGTGGCCATTGATCCCACAGCCTCCTCCAGAAACAGCTGTTCCCCTTGTCTGCTCCCAAAGCAACAGTTACTCACTATCCTGCCCCAGGCTGGCAGGTACATCCCTACACACAGCCTGCTCAGGGAGTAGTCTGTGACTTACCTCTGCCAACAACCTCCTCACAGAGCAGCTGTTCCCCTGACTGCTACACCCCTTCCACAGTGGCCATTGATCCCACAGCCTCCTCCAGAAACAGCTGTTCCCCTTGTCTGCTCCCAAAGCAACAGTTACTCACTATCCTGCCCCAGGCTGGCAGGTACATCCCTACACACAGCCTGCTCAGGGAGTAGTTGTTATCACCCACATGCCTCTGAATCTTCACTGAATGGCCATTTCGCTTCTACAGACTCTTTGCTGAATAGCCATTCCATCCTTAATCTCTTCACAGAATGGCCATTCCGCATCCTAGCAATGTTCCCTCTTATCTTTGCCATCGTGTATGGGTTTATTCCGTCCATGTGCAGAATAAATTTTATGTGCACTAAGATGTGTGAATGTGCATCATCGGTAGAAATAAAAAACCTAGCTATGGGCACTCTGCTAATCGAGTGGCATTGGAATCTCTCCTGAGGGGCCACACATGCATACAGCTTATAGGGAACACTGCCTCCCAGCCTCCTCACAGAATGGCTACCCTTCCCCCCCAGAATGGCCATTCCCTGCCTTCTGCCGCCTCCTCACAAAATAGCCATTCTCCTGTCACAGCCTTCTCACAGAATGGTTATCCCCCCTCCAATATTCTCCTCACAGAACGGACGTTTCCTTGCCACAGCCTCTTCACAGAATGGCCATTTCCCCTCCAGCAGCCCCCCTCACTAAACGGCGATGCCCACCTCCTCACAGAATAGTCATCGCTGCCAGCCTCCTCACTAAGGGTGCGTCTACATTGTACCCTTAGCTCGAAATAAGCTATGCAGTTTGAGCTATGCAAATTGCACAGCTTATTTTGAGTTGATTTCAAAATTTGGCACTGTCTACATAGCACCACATTTCAAAATGGAGCACTATCCTGAAACACTCCTTACTCCTCGTGGAACGATGTTTACTGGAATGTCGGAAGAGTGCACTTGTTATTTCAGAAGCTATTTTGAAATAACAGGTGTGCTGTCAAGATGCGGAAAACGTTCTTTCGGGATACCAGAATCGTGCCACTGTCTAGACGCACCCTAAATGGCCATTTCTCTCTCCCAAACTTCTCACAGAATAGCCATCCCCCCCATCCTCCTCACAGAATAGCTATTCTCTTCCCCCTCACTGAATGGTCATTTCCCCTCCAAGGCTGTGTCCAGACTCAGGGTTTTTTTCGGGAAAAGTAGCCTTTTCCCGAAAAAACTTCCCCTGCGTCCAGACTCAAGCCGCGTTCTTTCGAAATTAAATCGAAAGAACGCGGCTTTTCTTTCGATGGCGGTAAACCTCAATTTATGAGGAAGAACACCTTCTTTCGAAAGTTCCTCTTTCGAAAGAAGGCGTTTTTGAATGTAAATAGGGCTTCTTTGAAAGAGAGCATCCAGACTCACTGGATGCTTTCTTTCGAAAAAGCAAGCCGCTTTTTCGAAAGTTCAACGTGCAGTCTAGACGCTCTCTTTCGAAAGAGGCTCTTTCGAAAGAGCCTCTTTCGAAAGAGGCTTGCAGTCTAGACATAGCCCAACATCCTCCTCACAGAGTGACCTTTCTCCCTCCATCCCATCCCCATCCCCATCCCTGTTCCAGCCTCCTCACAGATCAGCCATTCTCCACACAGCCCCTCCCTCCAGCGTCCTCACTGAGACTATATCTACACTGCTGAGTTTTTTTGCGCAAGAGCAAATGCTCTCTTTCGGGGAGCCCTGTATCTTCGTTCTATGAGGAATAAGGGCTTTGCCAAAAGAGGAGGCTTTTCTGCCATTTGGCTCCATCTAGACAGGGCCAAATGGCGCAAAAGCCTCTTCCAGAAAAGCGATTGGAAAAAGCTAGCAAATTGCAGAGCACAATTTGCATAGCTTTTTCCGAGAAAGGACTGTAGTGTAGACCTAGCCTAACGGCCATTTCTCCTCTCCCAAACTTCTCAGAGTGGCCATTCTCTCCCCACCAACCTCCTCACAGAATGGCCTTTTCCCCCTCCAGCCTCCTCACATAGCGGCCATTCTCTCCTGCTTCAGTCTCCTTACTGAATGGCATTTCTCCCTGCCTCAGCCTCCTCACAGAATGGCCTTTCCCCTACAAGCCTCCTCACAGAACAGACATTTGCCCCCTCCAGCCTTCTCACAGAATGGCCATTCCTCTCCCCTCCAGCCTCCTCACAGAGCAGCCATTTCCCTTTGCCCCATCCATCCTCCTCACTAATGGCAGTCCTTCTCCCTCAGCCTCCTCGCTAAATGGCAGTCCTCCTCTCCCAGCCTTCCCACTAAATGGTGATTTTTCCTCCCTCCCCCAGATTCCTCACGGTGCAGCTATTCTCTCCCCTCCAGCCTCCTCACTTAACAACCATTTCTCACCCCAGCCTCCTCACAGAATGGCCGTTCCCCTCCCCCAGCCATTCAGAGATCAGCCATTCCATTTCCCCTCTCCTAACCTCCTCAGAGTGACCATTCCCTCCCTCCACATCCTTCCTCACAGAGCAGCCATTCCCCCCATCCTGCTAACCTCCTCAGAGCAGGCATCCCCTTTGCCTGCAGCCCCCTCACAGAATGGCTGTTCTCCCCCTTCAGCCTCCTCACAGGATGCCATTTCCCCCCTCCTCAGCATCTGCACAGAATAGCCATTTCCACCATCCCCTGCCTCCTCAGAGAACAGCCTTCCCCTCAGCCTCCTCACAGAATAGCCATTGCCACCCGTCTCACCACAGCCCATAGATTACCTCTCCTCACAAATCTGCCTGGACCCCCATCTTTCCCTTGGACCTGCCATTAACCCCAGTGTGTCAGAGGTCCCAACTGCCCAGACCAAGGCAGGGGAAATGTGTCATACACCCTAGATCAATCAGGGTGGATAGTGGAAGATCCTTGCTTGGTTTAGGTAGGGTTACCATATTTGAACTTTCAAAAAAGAGGACACTCCTGAGAGGGAACGTATCTGTATTGGTATCTATCAACTCATACAGTTATATACTAATATGTTCTACTATATAACACATTAATACAGTGTGAGTTGGTAAATACCAATACACATACACTCCCTCTCAAGAGTGTCCTCTTTTTTGAAAGTTCAAATATGGTAACCCTAGTTTAGGTAAACACGATCAGCTTTGCACCCCAATCTGGACCTTATTGAGAAGCTGCAGCTGTGATGGGCGGGGTACAGCCTGGGATGGTGGAGGCAGATTGTGGTGGAATATATGGTGCTTATCCATCACACAGTAGGTCTAGCTCTCTCTAATATCACTAATCCTCCTGGCAGGGCTAGTAACAGGTCATCAAAATGTGTGCACCCCTCTTTTTAGCACCCACCAAATCTTGTGCAGATCCTTCCCCATCAAATCTGCTATAATTTCCTCCCCAGACCTTCCTCTTCCATTGACTCTTGTGAACCACCCTCCCTTGATCAAAGTTTATGCCCTCCTTTTCCAAGCCCTCTGTCAGTTCTTATGCACTCTCCCTTTCCAGACTATCAATATTGTGAACAACCCCATTGCAGTCCCCCTCCCACATAAAATTTTGTGCTGCCCCTTTTCAACCTCCATCAAATTTTGTTCAACTCTCCCCTCCTCTGAGCCCCAAATACTGGCATTCCTCCAAAGAGACAACCAGACATAAAAATGGCTTAGCCACCTCCCCCTCATTATCCCCCAATCCCACACCAGCCCCAGGTGGATAATATTATTTTGTCTGCTTGTTTCCCCCCCATCCTCCTCTCCCTTCCCTTCCCTGCCACTGCCCCACCCCACCCCTGCAATCATGACGGACAGGTGACCATTTCCGTGGATGGTATCCTGACAACGACAGGCTACACACAGGAGGATTATACCATGCTGGGCTCGGATGACTTTTTCTACATTGGGGGCAGCCCCAATACAGCTGATCTACCAGGGTCCCCTGTCAGCAATAACTTCATGGGGTGCCTGAAGGATGTGAGTATTCAATAAGATGCGGCTACCTCTGGGGCTGGGTGAAGCGACTATTTTTATGAGGATCCCTTGACCAGTGCTGAAATGCAGCCTCCTCTGGGGTGGTGTCAAGGGCTGTTTAATAGCCTATAGCAACACTGACCAAAAGTTGAGGGCAGGAAGTGCAGGAGACTCTCTCATCAGTGGCATCTGAAGATCGTTCCCATATGATACATGTTTGGGGACTGGCAGGCATGAAATTTGATGTGTAATATAGACAATAGGAATGAGAAGATAACCCAGGAAACTCATTACACACAGCAGTCATTAGATAGGAACAGTTCTACATCATTGTTTACTTGACGCCAGATTACAGCTGGCACCCACTAGAAGAAAAAAGACCTAATATTCCACGCTCCCCCAAGCTAGCCAGTCTCCCCACCCTGGGATCAGATAAGAGCTGGTGTTCCCCCAGAAGGGAAAGCCCTGTATCCCATTCCTCACCCACTGAGCCAGCCAGCAGGTCCTTGCTGGGGGCCAGATCAGAGTTGGCACCTGCTAGAGGACAAAGGCCTTGTGTCCCACTGCAGCTCTCCCCACCAGGTCGTGTACAAGAACAATGACTTTAAGCTGGAGCTGTCCCGCCTGGCCAAAGAAGGTGACCCGAAGATGAAGATCAATGGGGACTTGGTGTTCCGCTGTGAGAATGTGGCAGCACTGGATCCAGTCACCTTTGAGTCACCTGAGGCCTATATCTCCCTGCCCAAGTGGAACACCAAAAAGACAGGCTCCATCTCCTTTGACTTCCGCACCACTGAGCCCAATGGCCTGCTGCTCTTCAGCCATGGGCGCCTGCAGCCCCCGCGGGAGAGTCGTGCTGAGCGCCCACACAAAGCTGACTACTTTGCCATGGAGCTGCTCGATGGCCACCTTTACCTGCTGCTGGACATGGGCTCAGGCGGCATCAAGATGCGTGCCAGCAACAAGAAGGTCAACGACGGCGAGTGGTGCCATGTGGACTTCCAGCGCGATGGGCGTAAAGGTGAGAGGGCTCCCCAGCCTTGTTTGCAGCACTCTCATGATCACCTCTGTCTCCTAATCCCCAGCCTGTCAGTGGAGATCCATGTCCCACTTCTTGCATGGTCTGTGTGCCCTGGCTGCCTGGAACTCTGCCCACCAACAGGGAGTGCAATGCCACCTCTGCTCTCCAAACCCTGCCCACAAGTTACCTGCCTATAGTGACCCTCTTTGCCCAGAACAGCCCCATATACCCGTCTCTACTTCCACCCATGGGGAGTCCGCAGCTGTGATGCCTGGAGTTGTTCAGCAATGTGGCAGGGTCATGGTGCCACACGGAAGTTCTGCTGGGGGTACTAGAGGTTATAGGGGCTGCTGTTGGACTTTGGATTAGTCTTGGGAGTGGGGGGAACCTTCTGAGTTACAGAGTTCAGCAGTGGCACCCAGGCGGAATTATGCTTTGCATTTTGGGGCAAGTATCAAATTTGGCTCTAGTATAGTCCCTGCCCCAAAGAGAGCCAAGAGTCTTGCCTCCATCCCTCCCCACCACCTTTTTCCCCCCTAACTGCTGATTGACATAACAAATTGACTGCTCATTAGCCACTCATTAGAGAGGCAAGAAAATAGGCCCAGTAGTGGCAGGGAACAGAGACAGGTACAGCTTCCCATAAGTGGAGTGGAGGAAAGAGAAAGAGAGCAGTGCTGCCCTCTGCTGGTTGAAATCTCGAAGCCTGTCTAAGTCTATATAAAAGTCTTAGGGTAGAGTTACACTGTGGGGGTTTTGGAAGAAGGTATGCAAATTGCATTCACATTTGCATATCTTCCGATTCTTTTTCCGATGTTTGGTCCATCTACATGGGGCCAAATGTTAGGAAAAAAACCCTGTTTCGGAAGCCCTTGAAAACCTTGTTTTACAAGGAATAAGGGGGCTTCCGAAAGAAGGTTTTTTTCTGGCAGTGTAGCCCTACCCTCAGAGGGGTAGCTGTGTTAGTCTGTAACTTTAAAAACAATTTTTTAAAAAAGGGGTGGTCCTGTGACACCTTAGAGACTGTGGGCAAAACCCCCTCTTTCAGATGAGATGATCTTGAGTCTCATGTTAGCCATGCATGTGTATGCATGCACAGTTCTGTTCTTTACTGATATCAGCTTCCTCCATGTATGTGCTCATTTATGCATGTGCATGTATGTTTGAGAATTGTGCATGTCTGAGTGAGTATGTATATATTAGTGTGTGTGAATTCATGTTACGTGAATCATTGTGGGAGTGCATGTGCATGAATTGCATGTAAGAGCATGTGTGAGAATCAGTGTATATTTATGGGTGCATGTTTGTATTGTGGCCCAGTTTTAACCCAAGCAGTAAGCCAAAAATTCAGTCTTGAAGGCTATTCCAGTGAGGAGGAGAAAGTGGTGATGGATGCAAACCTGCTTATTTACAAAGAACAGACAAAAGTCCTTTTTCTCTGAATAAGGCAGGAATCAAACAGACAGTTTCTTTGCTCATAAGCTCCATGCCTCTTGCTAGCCATCTCTAAGCTCAAAAACTCTCCCAACTTTTCCCAACTTCCCAAGGGCTGTGCTTCTAGTATTTCCATGTCTGCATGTGGTGTTTCCTTGCTGCCTTTTCCCTTTCTTCCTTTTGTCTTTCTGCCTCTCTCTCTCTCTCTCACACACACACACACACACACACACTCACACTCACACTCACACTCACAGACATACACCTTCACAAAGTAACAGCCAGGGAATTCCTCCATCTATACGCACGCACATTACAGGTGTCTTTGTTTTGAGCAGTAATATGTGCCTGTGTTTGGTTGGAGGGCCCTATTGTTTCAGTTGCCAGGGTCACTAAAGGAGCTATAGAGATTTCTTACAATGATCTTAAATGAAGGCTGGTGTTTTTGCTGAATGATAACAGCAAGGCATATCCCCAACCTGACAACACCCCTCATCTTCACCCATCTCCTTGATGGAGTCCAAAATGGTAACTCTTTCAACAACCCATTCCAGGTAGAAAAGTAATTATTTAACAAATTATGTATGATACAAGCTTAACTATTTACATATTTACAGTGTCTTTCTGGATATTTTGCATAACCAGCCCCCCAAAATTTTACTTCCATTCAAATATTCTTGTAGTTTTTCTTTCCCTGCGCCATTTCCTTTTTGTCCACAGGCAGGAGTTCTTTTTGAGTAGTTTCACTCCAGAGAACTTAGACTTTTGCTGTAATAAACAATCATGCTGTAAAGTCCTTGATGTTCTTGTGTCAATACTGTATTTGTGTCAATATAGAGGTGTTTTGAAACATGCAGTGCAAGATAGGAATATTCACAAGAGCTGTTTGAACTCTGAAAATGCTCTACTGACCACTAAAATGGTTTCCCTTTCTCTCCCAACCTATGCAGCATTTTTGCAATATTAGCAAACCCAGAAATAAACCTTCTATAATAAGAGTAGAGTCTGACAAAACTCTGCACATATGTGAGTGTCTGGGAAGCTTGCCAGTTCTGCACAACCATGGTTTTCTGTTTGTCAGTGGAAATTCCTTCCTCCCTGCTTGTGTGCCCAAGAGAGATTACATTTTTTGAAAGAGCTCACATTTCTTTGGGTTCAGTTTCAGATTGGCATCCTTCAGCTTACCGCAGACCATTTGTAGATGTATCAGTTCCTATTCAAAAATTTTGGCATGGACTAGGATATCATCTAGGTATAACAGACATGCTGAGAGAGACATGCTGTGTCACACCCTCTCCATTAGCCTCTCAAATGTGGTCGGTGCACTGCAAAAGCTGACAATCAATCCTTTTAATTGCCACCAGCCTTGTCCTGTGGTAAAAGCTGTCTTTTCCCTGTTCTTTGAATCCTCTGCCACTTGCCAATATCCACTTTTAAGATTGACTGTGGAAAATAGGGATGTGAATAGGTGACTGGTAAATTGGTTACCTGTAAGTATCACCCTTGCTGGGTGATGCTTACCAGATACAAGTTAACTGGGACCTGGGAGCAGCCTCGTGGAGATTGGGAGCTAGACCTGATGCGAAGGGGGGCCAGGAGCAGGCACCCTGTGCACTGGGCTGGCTGCCAATTCCTTGCGCAGGGGAGACCAACAGTGGCAGCCCTACACACAGAGGCAGGAGCAGAATCCCATTGAATTGGTTAACCAGTTAAACCTAAGGTTTAACTGGTTAACCAGGATTTTACATCCCTGGTAGAAAACCAGATTGAATCTGCTACACCGTCCAGGGTATCATCTGTTCATGGTAGTGGATAAGAATCTTTTAAAGTGACTTCATTTAGTTCCTGATATATTCCATGCACAATTTGGTTCAGTCTTTCTTTTTCTTAACTAGCACAGCAAGTGAAACCCAAGGACTGGTTAAATGCTCAGTGAGGTCTTCTAGATCCATTTCCTCAATGGCCTGTAAGGCCTCTACCCTCTGTGTTACTGGTACCCAGTGAGGAAGTGGTTTAATGGGTCCTTTCCCCCCATTTTAATCTTGTGCTGGACTAGTCCAGTATAATCTATATCTTTGTTGGAGAGGAGAACTCCTGATTCCTAACCAGAAAGTCTCTGAGATTGTTCTGCTACTCATCTTTTAAATGTATGGCACTGCACTAGAACAAGTCTAATAGAAACATTGGAAACTCACCTTCCCCTCATGCCCCCCCCCCCCCCATTAGTTTTCTTTTATACCAGCAAATACTAGATCCACTGGTTCTTCAAGTGATGGTCCCTATGTGTATTCCACACCTGTGGAATACAGATCAGGACTGCACATCTCAAAAACCCTCTCATTACAGATAAGTAATGTCCTCTTCTCATTTTGCAACTGTGGTTCACTTTGTCACTATTTACTGCTTTCCAGAAACATGTAGCAGAAGAGGAGGGATCCATTCCTAATTCAGTTCCACAAGAGTTTTAGCAGCTAAGATTTCCCTGTGACCCTGGGTCTTAAAACAGGTTTCAACTACTCCCCATTTTTGTTTGCTGGAAAGCTACTGTAGCATGTAATTATTATAATGGTTTCCTCCCCTAGGGGCAGGATAGCTCCTTCACTGCAAACTAGCTGTCTACAAGTCATGTCTCACCTGAGCCAAGTGTTTAAAGGGAATTTTCACATATTGACACTTTTCCAGGTATTATTTACACAGGTATTAGCCATAAAGAAATCCAAACTGATGATTAGCTCATTCACTATCTTGGCTAGCCAAACTTTTTACTTCAATTCCAGAAATCCAACTTTTAAACCCAATTTTCAGATGGCTGCATGTTCAACCCCCCTCGTCCTGCTATTTGAGATAATGAAAAGGGCTGTCACAAGGAAGCCTGGGACAACTCCTCCAAGAGGCCCAGGAATAGGACTCAAGGCAACCTCCCTGCATTGCAGGCCCTGCCTCTGCCCTCACTTTCTCCAAGCCCTGGTGTGCCCCTGCCCCAAGCAATGAAAAATTCAGCAGTTTGCTTGGGGCAGGGGCAGGGGCACAGCAGGGGTAGAGCTTAGGCAGGGAGACCTGGCATGGCAGCAACAGGGGTCGCCTCTCCACTGTGGTGGTGAGAACTGGAGTGGCCTGCTGCACCCTCTTCTATGCCGTGGTGAGAAGCCAAGCAGAGCGTGTCTGCGGGAGCAGTGGGGCGGAGCAGGCTGCTGGGCCACTCCAGCTCCTGCCACTGCAGTGAGTGCTGGGGAAGGGGAGTGACCCCTGCTACTGCCATGCCAGGCCTCTGGCCCCAGGTAATCCCTTGGATCCTGTCCATAGGACGGTTGAGGTTGCTGCCACAGAGGCCCCAAAAGCACGGGGTCTGGGGCAGCTGCCCTGAACTATCCTATGGACAGGACAGCTCTGCCAATGAGGCTGATCAGATTTAGATATACGTCCTATTCCTGGCCCTTTTAGCCTTTCTGATTTAATAACCAGTGTTCCATGTAAACTGAGCACTTAGGCGGCCACCTATGGCTGTGTCCAGACTCAGGGTTTTTTTCGGAAAAAGTAGCCTTTTTCCGAAAAAACTTCATTTGCGT